GGGGGGGGGGGGGGGGGGGGCAGAGGAAGGGTGGCCCAGCCCCTTGCAGCGTCCTTGGGTAAGGATGCCCCGTGGTGCTCCTGCTGGAGCCTTTCCTGTTCTCCCCGCAGGGCCTGGTCTACGCCGCCTCGTACGATGCCCTGGCTCAGGTGCCTGTGGCCAACTGCAGCCTGTACCGCAGCTGTGGAGAGTGTGTCCTGGCCGGAGACCCTTACTGTGCCTGGGGTGGAGGGGCCTGTCAGCTGCTCTTCCCCAGCCCTTGGACGCTCCAGCCAGCGTGAGTGCTTCCTGGATCCGGCCCCTGCTGCCCCTGCTGCCCGGCCCCTCGGCCTAAGGGGACCAGCCCCCTCCCTTCCCCCAGAGTCCCTTGCTGCGGCTCCTCTTCTTCCCCACCTGGTGCACTGACAGGGGCCCATGGTCCTCGGGGTACCCCTCCTGCTCCTCACCCTCTTTCCCCCACCAGGACCTGGGTCCAGGACATCGAAGGGGCTGAGACCAGCCAGCTGTGCCGGACCAGCGGTGTGGAACTCGGCCATTCTGCAGGTAACGGGTCGGCCTGGCCGGGCTTTGGCTTTGAAAGTTGGGGGAAGGAGGGGACCTCCTGGCTTCGAAGCCAAGGAGCATCGGGCAGGGACCGGTGTCTCCTGGGCTGGAGCCAAGGTAGCCGGTGGGAAGGCCGTAGCCGGACCTGACAGGCCTTCTCTCTCTCTCTCCCCCCTCCCCCCGGCCCCAGGAGAGCCACCCCAGTGCCAGCCGGTGGTGCTCCAGCCCAACAGGGTGATGCCGCTGCCCTGCCCACTGCTGTCCAACCTGGCTTCCCGGCACTGGGTGCACAACGGGGCTGCTCTGGCCTCCACCTTCCCGGTGCTGCCCACGGGAGAGGTGCTGCTGGTGGGGAGCCCAGCCGAGGAGGGGAACTACGAATGCTGGTCTCATGAGGGCAGCTTCCGGCAGTTGATGGTGAGCTACTGCGTGACCGTGGAGCCAGGGCTCTGGGCCAAGCTGGTGCCTGCCCAAGACCCCCTGAAGACCCTCAGCACCTCCAGGAGCATCTCGGGAGAGAACGTCGCGACGCTGTTGGAGGGCAGGACCTACTGGGCCGAGTTCCTGGTGATGTGTGTGCTCTTCAGCGCTGCTGTGACGCTGCTGGTCCTTTTCACGCTGCACAAGCACCAAGTCAGCCTGAAGGTCTGCCTCAAGGAAGGCCGGTGCAGCTGGTCTCATCCCCGGACCTCGCGGGAGAGGGGGGCCCTGCCCGCTGAGAATGCGCCTCCCCTGGGGGGCTTGAACGTGCCTGGTGCTCTGGCAGACCACAAGGGCTACCAGGCTCTGTGCGAGGGTCTTGTGGCGAGCACGCCTGGGCACGAGTCCTTGGCCTGCCCACGCGTGGCTTTTCTGGAGTCCGATCAGCGACCACTTCATATAGCCAAGACCTTTGTGGAGGTGTTGGGTCCTGCCCAGCGCCCTCGGGTTCGCCTTGGCTCCGAGATCCAGGACTCGGTGGTGTGACCTTCCCCAAGAGGCGCCATTCTGTGGGCTGGAAAGGAGCCGGGCAGAGTCTTCTGGTGCCACCATACTCGGGCAGAGGAAGAAGGGCAGCCCCACGCGGTCGTGGAATGGGGCCAGGCACGCTTAGCTCTGCGGCAGGGTTCCTGCATGGCAGTTGGCAGCCATGCCCCCTACGGGTGGCCTCCAGGTGCAGAATCCAGGTGCAGCCGCCCTTCAGCTCCAGCGGTCCGTCCTTACAAGCACTGCCAGGAGGGGACAGAATGGGACAACTTGCCTGTGGGCACCTGGCTCCCGCTTCTTTGGCCTGTGTGGGAGGGACCCTTGCTGGGAGGGTAACTTGTGTGGTACCAAAGACCCTCCTGGAAGTCACCTGTGATAGGAGACCCTCTGGGGGAGCATCCTGAGCCTGGGACGAACTGTGCGCTAGGGAGGAAAACGGGGGAGCCTTTCATGTCAGAAACTGACTCCCCCGTGTGGATTCCTTTGTCTATAAAACCAGAGACGTGGTCTTGGGGAAGGGAGTGGGCAATAGGGGATATTCGGAAAGCACCAGGGAGCATCCTGCAGGGCGGCCCTCCAGAACAACCGAAGCTGCCGCCAGCTCATCAAAGGAGCCCGTTTCAAAAGATTTGTCTCCTGAGATTTGACAGGCTCCAATCATCACACCTTAAAAGGCCTTTCTCCACCGCAAAACATTTCATGACCCGTCCGTCCGTTTCACATAGGCTCAATATCCCGCCTTCCAGGGAAGGGAAGAGCCGTGATCCAGGACTCTTGGAACCACGTTTGGGTGAAGCCCTTGGAAGAGTTCCTGTGCTGCCCTTGAAACCTTAGCTGGTACTTAGCTGAACCGTTGCCCTGTTACTAAAGGTTTGGGCTGGCCTAAAGAAGGGGAAGCAATTTCCCTCCCGTCGATCTCTTCCCTGGGAACTCAGGTGCAGTTGCCCTAGCAGGGGGCTTGGCTTTGGCTCCTGTGATTTGGTTGACTACCTGATCCTTGTTTGTGGTCTGTGACCACCTCCCTTGGCCTGTTGTACCAACTGGTGGTGGCTGCTTTGTGAAAAGGCCAAGCGCCCCCCCCCCCCCCCCCCCCCGCGCCAAGGTGTTAAACCCTGGAAGGCCCAAGAGGCCCCGCCAGGATTCCTGCAGGGAAACTGTCTTGCCCCCTTGGAAGCAGGGACCTTTGTGCGCTGCTTTGGGCTCCCAGAGGGAAGTGAGCTTGGCGGCTGCTACAGCTGTTGGCCAAGGACTGGATGGGGCTCTTGCAGTCCTACTGCGGTCAGCTTCCCCCCGCGTGAGAGGGTGGAAGTGTGTCAAAGACTGGGAAGGCAGCAAAACAGCTCTTTTTCTGTTCTGCACTCCTTCAAAGGCAGAATTGGGCACCTTCTGCTGTGCTGGGAGCGATACGGATGAGCTGGTTCTTTGGAAAGTGAAATAAAGATGGAAGAACACGAGTGAGTTCGTTGAGTTTTATTTTGCAAAGTGTAGAAATCAAAGTCATGTCACGACTATTCATCAAACTCAAGAGGCTGGCTTATGGCCAGTGCTCTTCCCCAACACTCAGAAAGGAAGAAAAATGGTCCAGTGAGTCGGACCTCCCAATGCGCCCAGCAGGGTTTAATTGGAAGAGGGTCCATTACTCCACCAGAAAGCAGCAGGAGCGACGTCAAAGCCCTGTCCCAATTTGCCCTTGCCACCCCAAGCCATTGCACAGAACTGCCAAGCAAGACAGAAGCAGAGAATACCAGCCCCAGCTCCCTGGGTCCTTGCCCCAGCCCTCCCGATAGAAGCACCCGCTGGTGGAGGTGCCCGCAAGGCCATGGTTGAAGTGGCTCTAAGAGCTCGGTGGGGTCGAGCTACTTGGGGTTCCTGTGTGCTCTGAGAAAAAGGAGCCACTTTCTGAGATGTGGAATCTTCTAGCAAGTTGGGGAAGAAAAGAATCACAGCACGATCTTGAAGGAGCTGGAAGGAAAATATAGGAATTGGTTATCAGAGGCCGACCAGGTTCCTTCCAAAGCACAACCCTCCCTCCCGAAACACAACGGATTTAGCCAAAACTCAACCCAAGAAAAACGGAGTCACCTGGTGAAGTCTGGAGAGCGGGAAATGATATGCTGGAACTCGGAGAGGTTGATAGTCCCATCTTTGTCAATATCCGATTCCTCCAAGATCTGTCCAGACAGGGAGGGGCCTGGTGGGTCAGAGTTGGCTGTGCCCTTCCTGGCCAGCCCTCCAAGTGTGTTCTCCCCCCCACCCAGCACTCACGTTCTGGATGAGCTGCTCCATCTCCAGCAAGCTCAGCCTGCTGTCTTCTCCTTCTCCCGTCAGGGAGTTCACCAATTTCTCCAAGTCCTTCTTGTCTAGAGTGCCGTCATCATCGAAATCTAGGGAGAAGCTGGGCTCAGCCTTCCCAGCCTTTCTCAGCTCCGGTCCGGGGCGTTGAGGTGGAAAGGCTGAGCTCCAAGTTCATTCAGGCAGGAGAGAAACCACCACCACCCCCGTCCCCCAATTTGGCAGGGGAAAGTGACTGTCTTTGGTACCTTCTTCACATCCAGGGATCTGGAAACGGCCGCTGCCCCCTTGGGATCCAGCGAGGGAGGGGAGGAGGATTCCCCGCCTTGCTGGTGAAAACAGCCCCCAGGGCCAGGAAGGTGCAAAGCAAGAGGCCCCGGAGAGAAGGGAGCCCAGCCCACTTGGAAGCCCCGCGCCAGGCAGCCAAGCGCCGGGAAGCCCGCAAGCGGCGGCCCTCGAAGGGCCCCCCGGCTGCTGATGCTGCTGCTTGTCGGGCGCAGCGCGGCCTCCTCCGTTGGGCCGCCCGGGCAGAGAGCAGCAGGCGCGGCCGCGACCCTCCCTACCGAAGAGGCGGAAGGCGTAATGCGACTTGACTTCGGGGGTGGCCGAGTCGCTGAAGACGCTCAGCAGGTCCAGGAAGTCCTCGAAGGAGAGCGCGTCCTCGCCGGGCTCCGCCGTGGAGAAGATGCGGCAGATCCGGTGCCGGAAGGGGTTCGCCTGCAAGAGCCGGGCGGGGGTGTCAGGGCCGGCGGGGGCCGCGACCCCGCCGCCCAGCCCGGGAGAGGGAGCGGGAGGGGGCGGCTCACCCGCAGCTCGGGCAGCGCCAGCAGGCGGCTCTCGGGCACGCGCGTCTTCAGGGCCTGGGCGCGCGCCTCCCGGGGCAGCAGCTGGCAGAAGCGCTTGTGGGCGCTGCAAGGCAAGGCGAGGCGGTCAGGGCGCGCGCGCTTCCGGGCCCGAGGCGGCAAGGGCGCCGGCGGCTGGCTCGGCTCCAGCGGCGCCCTTCCGGGGCCCTCGGGACGCGGCCCGGATCCCCGTCCCGCCGCCCCGCTACTCACAGCAGGATCTCCTGCTTGCTCAGGAAGGTCAGCTCCTGCGGGGGAGAGAGAGAGAGAGAGAGGCGGTCAGGGCCCGCGCGGGCGGGCGGCCCCCCCGCCAGCCCCCCCCAAGTCCCTCCCGGGGCGCACCTGGTACTCGCCCAGCAGGTCGCGGGGCAGGCGGCTGTCCGAGCCCCCCATCCGTCCCTCTGGCCACCGCGGCTCCGGCTCTCCCGGCGCTCTTCCTCCTCGTCGTCGTTGTCGTCGTCCCGTCCTGGGCGGAGCGGCTGCTCGACCGCCCCCCGGCGCCAGAGGGAGCGCCAGCCGGCCGGCTCGGGGAGGCGGAGCTTCGGCGCGGCCAAGGCTGGCTTCCCGCATGGCCACGGAGGGGCTCGGGGAGGCCGGCCAGGGCGGCGGGAGCCCCGCGCTCTTTTCCTACGGGCCGGAGGAGCTGGTGCTGCGCGGGGTGGAGTGGCCGAGCAGCGGCGGCGGCGCGGGGGCGGCCGTCAACCCCGCCTGGTCGCGCTTCGACCGGGCGCTGCGGGAAGGCTGGGCCGAGCGGCTGCAGCGGGGCCTGTTCCGCTACCGCCTGGGCCGGCTGCCGACGCGGCGCCTCCCGGGCAGGCTGGGGCTGGTGGCCCAGCTGAACGTCCAGCGGGCGACGGAGAGGCGGCGGCCCCAGGAGGTCCGCAGCGTCCGGCAGAGCTTCGACCCGCGGCAGTTCCACTTCGGCCAGATCCGGCGGGAGGAGGCCCTCTTCTCCCTGCGCCGCCGCCGCCGCTGCTGCTGCCCCGGCTCGGCCGGGACCCTGGTGGCCATCAACGTCAGCCCGCTGGAGCGGGGACACGTGCTGCTCATCCCCGACCCGGCGCTGGCCCTGCCGCAGATCCTCACCGCCGAGGCCCTGCGGGCGGGGCTGGAGGCCGTGCTCCTCAGCGCCCACCCCGGCTTCCGCCTGGGCTTCAACAGCCTGGGCGCCTTCGCCTCCGTCAACCACCTGCACCTGCACGGCTTCTACCTGGACTGGGAGCTCCGGGTGGAGTCCGCGCCCGGCGAGCCCCTCCTGCCCGCAGCGGGCCTCTACCTGCTGCGGGAAGCCCCGGCGCCCGCCTTCCTCTTCTACTGCGACGACGGGGCGCAGGTGGAGCCGCTGGCCCGTCGGATCGGCCGGATCACCGGCCACCTGACCCAGCGAGAGATCGCCCACAACCTCTTCGCCACGCGCGGGGCCGCCCCCGAGGGCCCCCTCGGCTCCAGGGCTCGGCCTGGGATCCGGGTGCTCCTTTGGGCGCGGAAAGGCTGCTTCGGGACCAAGGAAGAATCGGCCTTCAACGTGGCCGTGTGCGAACTGGCGGGACACCTGCCCACCAAGACTGTCCAGGAATACGAGGGCCTGACCGAGGCCTCCGCGCTTCACCGGATCCAGCAATGTCTGCTCCCAGCCAGCCAGTTCGCCCAGCTTCAGCGGGAGCTTGTGGGCCTCCTCAGAGAGCGGCCTCCCTCGCCTCAGGGGCCTGCCTGACTTTCGGGTCCAGGACGCGGAGGGTCTTCCCCAGGTGGGGCTGCTCCAGAGGAAGCCTGGCTCAGGGGGGCTTTTGAGATAAGCCCAGTTAAGCCAGATGAGCCCAGCCATTGTAAAGAACTCCGTGTTCTTTCCAGACTAACAAGATGCACAAACTAAAGAGACAGAAGACGCTGGACGATAAAGCACAAGGCTTAATAGCTGGTAAGGAAAATAAAATACCTCTGGGAAAGAAGCTTGTTTGTTTGTGCGGGTATTTAAAGGGGTCCGCATGCATTTTTGAGAAGAGCTTCACTGCTACTAGGAGCGAAATCGTAGGGTGAGTTTTTCATTACAGGAAGCCCAATTAAACCATCCTGTGGGGTCTCACCCCTACCAGTGACTGACATCACCACCATCTTCAAGGGATTCTATCTTATTTCCTATTTGAACTCTAAATCACACCAACCACAGGTCCATTTAGTTTTCTACCACCTGTAAGGATCAGCCAGTTTACAGCTGAACAGACTCCCCCCCCTTCTTTTCTAAAGCTCACACCACCCTCTGCTTTCACCATGTCCTGGTAGCTCCAAAAAAGATGCTGTAATTGCTGAGGGTTCTGCAACATAGTCAGCGCACCTGTTCCTGGGCCCATTCCATTGTGGGGTGCCAGCCTTTGCTTTCAACGTTACCTGAACCAGACCTTTGCAGTCAGCCATAGTCCAGTTTTATTTATAGCAACATCGCATGTTGTGCTCAAATACAATTGCCTATTGCTAAGTTAGCTTTGGTATGCTATGACAGGATATGTCGAACAGAAGTTTTTTGCCATAAAATCTTTAGTGTAAATCTAGCATCTTGTAATTGGACCAGGAAAAACAATCCAAAAAAAAAGGCTTGGGCTTGCATAATGTCCAACTTTTATGCTTTTATTGTCAATTTCAACCAATGGGAACGATTTTGATAGGGAGGCCAACAGAAAACCCACATCCTATCATGGGTGCCCTGACTTCTGTTGGCCTTTTCAATGGCCTTTTATTTTTCCAAACATCAGGAGCTTCTCCACTGTCTTCACGTTGTTTCAAAATATTTAAGCTTCAGTTTGTATTCGTGCTTCCAGTGAGAGCAACTAGCATGGAGTGATCTTGTTTTCTTCAGCACCATTATGTAAAACATATATTTTTCTTCCTTCAGTCTGGGGAAAAAAATGTGACCCTGACAATACATAGCTTTGTGGTATGGTGATTTGTTCTGCATCTGATATGGTTTTCCTCTCAAGATAGCAGATGTCTCGGTATTTCATGAGCACACAACCCTTGTCTTGAGCCTAGAGAGATAAAGTGTGTCACTGTTCCAAGACATACTTTATCAGTGTATCTGCATTAGGCTAGTATTGACAGTCTCTTACCTGAAATGGCATAGGTGGGTCTCCTGCTTGAGCGGGTGTGTGTGTTGCAAAACCTCCAAGGTCCCTTATAGGTCTGTTTTCATTCAGAAGATTCAATATTGAACCCTCTCCTCTTTCATCCTCAGTTTATATAAGATTGTCAAAGCTATTTTCCTGTAATGTTAATTCCAATTTCTATTTCTTCTGATCCAGTCCTTCTCATATTGCAGTCTATGTTCATTAAATACATTTACAGCATACAATTCTGTGTTTCCCCTATAAACTAAAGAGAGCTCATAAAATAAAGTATATGAATTTATGAAGTATATAAATGCTGCTCCAATCCAGCAGACCCATGAATGGTTTTAAACACTATTAATACATTTCTTAATACAACCGAAAAATGCACCCCGCATTTCATACTTCACCCCTTTGGAGGTGAAGTATGCTATGCAAAATGCAGGACCAATGCATCTGAACTGATTTTTTGAAAAGTATCTGGCGTCCCATATATAACACAGCCCTGGGAGCAGGGGAGTAAAACAGTAAAGTTGGTCAGCAAAAGAATTCATGGCAGTGAAAAAGAAATTTCATTTGAACGAAGATATCGAATCACATCTCTCCCTCCTTTTCTCTCTTTAGAAATCAACCTTGTTCGCTGCACTTTCGCCTATTTTCTCTGATTCTTCGCCTTTTCAATCCAGCCTTCTGCTTCCCTTGGTCTTGCGAACCTCGGAGGGGGGGGCGGCGTCCTGCTCTGCCTTGCAGCGGACAATCCGTCCAGCACTCCCCGCAGATCACCTGCTCCTCGCCCGCGCCACACTGGCAAACCCCAGCGCGCGTTCCGCCCAATCCGACCCACCTCCCGTCCGCATCAGCATCCCTGGCCGGGCGTCCCCGCCGGAAAGCGCCCGGGGAGGCTCCTGCGCGGGGCCCCGCAGCCCCGTCCTCCGAGCGGCGCGACGGCCGCCGCCCAATACGGGCCGAGCAGAAACGTCTCGGCCGCAAGGGGCGGAGTGTGGGCGGAGACGTCGAAGAAGAAGCCTGTCGCCGAGAGATGACGAAAGAGCTATTTGCATCCCTCCTTCGCGTCCCTCGTTGCTGTGGCGCCAGGGCCCCGCGCGCGCCCCGTAGGCTCCCTGAGGGGCGGGGCTCCTGGTCGGCATGGTGACCGCGTCGGGGCCCGAGGCAGCCTCGGGGGGCGCCGCCGCTGCGCCAGGAGAGCCGCCGGGCTCGGTGAGCCGGGCGGGCGGTTGGGCCGGCCGCGAACGAGGCTTCCCCCGGCCCGTGCGCGGGGGCCGTGTCCCGGCTGAGCTCCGCGGGCGGACGGCCGCCGGCAAGGCGGGCAGGGGCGCCGCGCCTCGCGGTAATAATGGTCGCGGTTGTCACAATCGCTGCCGCCGCGCTGACGGCCGGGCTGCTGCTCTCGCCAAAGGGCCCGAGAGGATGAAGATCGGCCGAGAAGAGAGCAGCGAGTCCGAGAACGAAAGCGACGAGGAGGACGAGGACGAGGAGGAGGACGGCGGCCTGTCGGACGAGTCTGCCAACGAATGCCTGAAGAGGCCGGAGGCCGAGCGGAGGGAGCCTCCGCGCGGCTCCCTTCCGGACAAAGGCCCAGAGCCCGGCCGGGAGCAGCCCGGAGCCGGCCCGGAGGAACCCACGGCGGAGGAGGGCGAGCCGGAGGAGCCCCGGCCGAAAAGGAAGAGGCGGCACCGGTGCGGTCCCTGAGGACGGGCGGGGCGGGCGGGCGGGCGCAGCGTCCCGGGCGGCCTCCTGCGGCCGGCCGGGGCTTCTCCTCGCGACCCCGTTCCTTCTCTCTCCTCCTCCCAGGCTGCTTTCCATCAACCTCGCGAACTGCAAATACGAAAGCGGTGAGTCCCAGCGGCGGCTTCTTCGGCGCTTTCCTCGGGCGCAGAGTCCGAGCGAAGGGGAAACGCCTGCAGGTCGCCTGGTTTCCCCTCCTGTACAAAGAATGGAACCTGCGGGGTTTTCCGGAGGGGGCAGAAGCAGGAGATTCCGCTTTTGCATCCCAGAGGAGGATGAAAGGCTGCTTCCTTTATTAGCGCTGTGCAACAGTGCAGGAACGAGCCAGCGCTGTGTAATCTGGGCCAGGAGAGCCACTGGATCCCTTGCCGGCAAAGGGGGGGGGGGGTTCCGGGGACTCCCTTGGAGGGGTTGAATAACCTGAACGACCATTCCTGATGCTCAATTGCGCGTAGCTTCTGGTCCTGCAAGCAAGGCCAGAAGATCATTGGATGCCTCCTTGGAACCAGCTTTGTCCGTCTGCTTCCTTTGCTGCAGTTAGACGGGCTGCTCGGCGCTGTGGCCTGAAAGAAGTGGGGGAGGATGAGGAGTGGACTGTGTACTGGACTGACTGCTCAGTTTCGCTGGAGCGTGTCATGGAAATGAAGAGGTTTCAGGTACCCAGCCCAGCCAGGGTGACGGGAGCAGAGAGAAAAAACCCCAGAGGAGTCCTGATTTCACTTCTCTGATGGCTTGGGAAGGCTGGCTGGCTGTCCAGTTCTTCAAGTGGGGGGGGGCTTCTCCTGGAGCGGAGGAGTTGGGAGATGGAAAGGGAGAGACCGCGGCACTAGGGCTTCTGTTGCCCATTCCACGTGGCTCCAACAGTGGGGAAAGACTAGAAGAGCCCCAGAAGGATGCAGAACAGGGACTCACCAGAGAGGAGCCATAGTTGGGTTCTTCCCTGTGGTATTTCCATCACCACCCCATCTTTACTTTTATGCGGCAATGCACTTTGTTTAGTTATTGAGTGAAATGAATAAAAAGTGCCTAAGGTGCCTTTACTTTTTGTTATGGAGGTTGGGCTTGTTGTTTTTTACATGTATTCATAATTATTTTCTTAAATGTTGGAGCTCTTTGGGAAGATGCATTCCGTGACCGAAAAGTGGGGCAAAGCATTCTGCAGAGCAACAGAACGAAAGCTGTGCCAAGGCGCTTCCTTTTCCGTCTCCTGCTTTTGCTTCCTTCCAGAAAATCAACCACTTTCCTGGCATGGCCGAGATCTGCCGCAAGGACCTGCTGGCCCGCAACCTCAACCGGATGCTGAGGCTCTTTCCCAAGGAGTACTGCATCTTCCCTCGCACCTGGTGCTTGCCAGCTGAGTGAGTGAAGGAGAGGCGGCTGTGGTTGTGCCAACCCTCCCAGCTGACATGGCACAGGAGGCGGGTTGCTTACATGCCGGTCCCTGTGTTGCCTTTCTGCAGCTATGGGGACTTCCAGGCCTACGGGCGAATGAGGAAGAACAGGACGTACATTTGCAAGCCGGACAGTGGCTGCCAGGGGAGGGGCATCTTCATTACCCGGAACCCCAAGGAAATAAAGCATGGGGAGCACATGATCTGCCAGCAGTATATCACTAAGGTGGGCCTGGGCGCCTGGGGGGCCTGTGGCGGAGAGCAAGAGCCCCAGGCAGTGAAGAATGCGGTCTCGGCTATGGGACCGATGGTTCCTCTCCCTCAGTCTCTCCTCCTCTCTTTGCAGCCCTTCCTCATTGACGGCTTTAAGTTCGACATGCGTATTTATGTCTTGGTCACCTCCTGCGACCCCCTGAAGATCTTTGTCTATGAGGAGGGGCTGGCCCGCTTTGCCACCATGAGGTACATCGAGCCCAACAGCGGCAACCTGGTAAAGAAGCCCAGGAACTGGCATCCCCTTTGTAGGAAGATAAGCTGTTGGTACCGGATGGGGCTTTGGGAATGACTGGGGAGAACTTGACACGGTGAACACCATCCTCGGGTCTGCAGGGCTCCCTGGGCCGGCAGATCTGGTCCCACTGGTGGACCAGGGGAAACGAGGAGGAGAAGGTGAAGCAGGTGGGCAAGGGGAGAATCCCAGGGGCCTTCAAGGGTGGAGAATCAGGCTCCCCCTCCCAACGTCTCTCCCACAGGATGACATCTGCATGCACTTGACCAACTATGCCATCAACAAGCATAATGAGAACTTCGTGCGGGACGACAACACGGGCAGCAAGAGGTATTGCTTGTACCCTGCATTCCCTTGCCGGCGAGGGGGCAGCACGCCTGCTAGTAGGGACCAGGGGCGGGTGCGGGGGGGATAGTGCACCAGATGCCCGTTTGTAGGAAACGCCACTTTTCTCCATGAATTGGCTGCTTTGAAAAAAGTAGGTGACTTGCCCACCTGTGTGGCTCTTGAGGGGGGGCAACCGGGCATGCCTGTGTCCTGGTGGGAAAGGCTCTGTCAAGATCTCCGTCTCAGAAGGAGCTGGGAGAAGTGGCTGGACCCACCCTGGACACCCTGGCTGGCTGGCTTCTCTTTGCACCCCTCTGTGATTGGGGGGGGGGGACGTGGCTGCACCCCAAGGGAAAGCAAGGCTCCCTTGGAAGGGCCTAGAGTTCCTGGGGGGAGCTGTTGCTCAGTGATCCTGGGGCTCCTGCAGCAGCTCTTCTCCCTCCCCTGATTCAACAGGAAGCTGTCCACCCTGAACACTTGGATGCGGGAGCACAGCTACGACACCGCGGAACTGTGGCGGGACATTGAGGACATCATAATCAAGACGCTCATTGCTGCTCACCCAGTTCTGAAGCACAACTATCGCACCTGCTTCCCCCACCACATCTCCGGTTGCGCCTGCTTTGAGATCCTGGGCTTCGACATCCTCCTGGATCGGAAACTCAAACCGTGGCTTCTGGAGGTAGATACCTTTCCCAAAGCTCTTTGACCGTGAGACGAGTGAGATATAAAAGAAATAAAGAAATAAAGTGCCTGTCTGAAGCAGGAGAGGTTGCCCTTTGGTTCACCCGCTCTAGCACCTGTTACAATTTTGACAAAAATAGGCATGAGGTTCTCCTGAGAGATTTTGAAAGAGGGGGATGAAGGAGGGCAATCTTTTTAAGCCTCCATCCATCATTTCACATTAAGAACCGTCCCCTCGGTTCCTGTTCCCAGCCCTTCCCATCATCCCCTTCAGCAGAGAATTTCCTGAGACCCAAAGTTTCCTCTCCGTCCTCCAGGTCCTGGTTGTCCAAAGGTGCTTTTCCAAGAGGCAATTGGACTTTCTGGTTTTTCATTGAAGACATTTCACTTCTCATCCAAGAAGCTTCTTCAGTTCTTGGATGAGAAGCTAAACGTCTTCAAAGGAAAACCAGAAAGTCCAGTTGCCTCTTGAATGGATATTCTTTGTCATATTCTCTCCTAAGCGGGGCCCAACGTACAGCCTGACAAGCTCTTTTATTTAGGAAATTAAAAAAAACAAGAAGAAGGTATATCAAAGAGCTGCTGGGATATTCCCCTGGTTCCTCAGATCGAAATGAATGCAAATGCGGTCTTGGTGTGTGTGTGTGTCTCTTCGCTCACTCTTTCAGGTCAACCATTCCCCCAGCTTTACCACGGACTCCCGCCTGGACCGGGAAGTGAAGGATGCCTTACTGTGCGATGCAATCAATCTCATCAACCTGCGGGCCTGTGACAAGAAGAAGGTGCTAGAAGAAGACAAGAGGCGGGTGAAGGAGCGCCTGCTGCAGCCCCACCAGCAGCCCCGAGAGGCCAGGTAGCTCTGTGAGCCCCTGCCAGGCCTGGGGTGGCCTTTCCCAGGGGCCCCTTGGCATCCTCTGCCCATCTACCACAGGGGAGGCTGTCGTAGAGCAAGCGGAGAATCTGAATTGTGTGCACAATTTCAGGGAGTCTTTGACTTAGGGACCACTGGAAGTTACAACGGCACTAAAAAAGGGGGCTTATGACCATTTTTCACACTAACGACCAGTGCGGCATTCCCATTTGTCATGTGATTTACATTCGGATGCTTGGCAACTGACTCACAGTTATGACGGTTGCCATGTCCCACGGTCACGGGAACTCCTTTTGTGACCTTCTGACAAGCAGAGCCAATGGGGAAGACAGATTCACTTAACAACCGTGTTTCTAATTTAACAGCTGCAGTGATTCATTTAACACTGTGGCAAGAATAATCATAAAATGGGCAAAACGCACTTAACATAGATATTCTCCTAAGAAAGCCAAAACCTCACTTTTACTTTCTGAAATATTCAGGTTTGAGGTTTATGAACAGTTTGAATTGACCGAGAGCACCGAAGTTCTTCAACAGTAAAATTAATCCTTCAAAATGCAACTTGCCTAATAATTGTACACGGGGAGGGTGTAGGCTGGTGTGTGTGTGTGTGTGTGTGTGTGCACAGGGATTTGTCTGGGGTTTAGGGCCAGCTCTTTGCTGTCTTCCAGGCGTGAACAGATGGAGAGCAGCCATGCCGCCTGGCTGGCCCAAGCAGAGAAGTACGAGAACAGCCACCTGGGCCACTACCGGCGCATCTTCCCCTCTCAGGGCACTGAAAAGTACAGCCCTTTCTTCAAGCACAGTGGATCCCTCTTCCAAGAGACGGTGGCCTCCAAGGCCAGGGAAGAGTGTGCCAGGTAGCTGGATGGCGGGGCGGGGGGGGGGGGGGGGGGGGGGGGGGGGGGGGGAGAAACGGGGCTTTCGGATCCTAATGAAACGCGTGCGAGTATAAGAGCAGCCGGTGGGTCTGCTGACCTTGTGGCTCTTTGCACCCCAGGCAGCAGCTGGAGGAGCTCCGTCAGAAACAGGAGCAGAGGGAGAACACAGCCGGGCGGAAGAAACGGGAAGGGAAGGAGAGCTTGCAGGGGGAGTCGGCTGGAGAGAAGGCCCAGGAGAAGAGCAAGGGCAAGATGACCCTCACCCGGATGGCCTACAGCCACAGCAAGACCTGGAGCCCCAAGGTGCCTTGCCAGCAAATACCCCGACTTCTGCCCAAAGGAAGCCCAGGTGGAGCTCCACCCAGAAATAGAAACCGGTCTTCCTCGGTTTTGCCTTCAAAAGAAGCCGCCTGGAGGCTGAAATCTGATCCTGAGGACCGTGGGCAAAACCAGAGGCTCTAAGATCAGAACTGATGCTGGTGGTGATGCTCCTGGGCCCTTTCCCTCTCCTGGCTGGCTGGCCGCCCTTGCATGATGAGGAGAGCGCCCAGGGCAGGGCAGGGCAGCGCCCTCCGTGGGGCCGGGTGAGCCTTGGAGCTGCTCAGCCGCTGGCCAAAGTGGGGACCAGCAAAAGCCAAGGAGCCCACCAGCCTCAGGTCTGACCTTAGAGAATCCAAGAGCCTGTGGTTTTGTTTTCGGGAGAGGGTTTAAAAGTTCATTCAAGTGGGCATATGTGAATTTTTGAATTAACAAGCTGCCGTTCTGCTTCCCAGATGGCCTCCTTGCAGTATGACAGCATGACTCCCCAAGCCATAGTGGAGGAAGAGGAAGTCGAGAGAGTCAAGGCCCTCTTGAGGCGAGAAAACCTCATCCGGGGGCTTGGCATTGTTGACCAGCTGACCCGCCTGCTGCGCAGCGCCGAGCCAAAGCCTGTGGAAGTCCAGAGGCCCCACATCAACGTCTCTGAATGCCAGGTGACCCTCTGCACGGGCCTGTCACCCCAGGGAAGGGCTGGGCACCAACGTGGCCCAGGGTGGAAACTCCAGGCAGCCTGTGAGAGGCGAGCCCAGCTCAGTCCAGAAATTCAGAAGAAAGCCTCCCCATCCGATGAGCAGGAGCCCACTGCTTCTCCTTGCAGCCTGTTTTTACTGTCATTAGTTTTTCCTAACTTCCAGCCAGAGTCGGCCCCCATTAACCGAAATGGATTGTTCTTTGTTCGGTTATTCTAGAACAGTCCTCGGTATGACATCCTGTGAGGTATTTGATGGGGCTGTAAGATTTCTCTTGCTTGGGACTAAACTCCCTCCTTCTCTTGGCTTCCGTTTCTGCTCCCGATTCTGTTCCTCCTCCTCTTCTGTGCCAGGGGGTGTTTGCAACCGTCTTAAAGCTGGTGTGAGAAAGAGGAGAGCACTCAAAGGCCGAAGCAGAAACCCCTGGAGATCTGGCTTCAACTGATGTGATCTAATGACTGGCCTGGGTCATGTCTCTGCCCCTCCAGATAGTATAGCAACCTATTGCATAATTCGGAAGGGCCCAAATATGTCCTTCATAATTTTCTGATTTGTGCCTCCGAGTCAACGTTTGACTCCTCGCAACTTCCCTGTCCCGACAAGGTTTTTCCGAAGGGGTTTGTTATTGCCTCCTTGGCCGGGCTAAGAGGGAGGGGCTGACCTGCAATCGCCCTGCTGACTCCTCACCTGATGCCCTCAGGACGACACCAAACCGGCTCTCATTTCCCAATCTGAGGCGTTAAGCAACCTGCCTCCTACAGGCGGGGCGAGTCATTGCAGAAAGCCTGCACCTTTCAGAGCCTGCTGGGTACCAGTGGATGGCACACAGGAAGGTTGTTTTCCCAAAACGTCAACGTGATGCTTTTGTCTTCCAGCCCCACTTTCTCCAGGATGTGTTCAACAACCACAACACCCAGGACCTGATGACCCTTGTCCCCCTCTCCCTCCTGAGGGGCTCGGCTCAGGAACTCGGCCGCCAGATCCTGCAGCAGCAGCCCACAGGACGCGTCCAGCTGCTGGGAAACCCAGGTTTCATCCCGACTATCCTGGGAGCCCTCTCGGGCCTCGGCCCCCCTTGTGAGCCGCCGCTGCACTTCCAGCCACCCAGGAACCTCAGCTGGCTGGGCACAGCCATGGTGGGCGAACCTTGCACCCTGGCGCGGATGCTGAGAGCAGGAGGGCGGCGCTTTGCCAGTGCCAAGAACAAGGCAGAAGGCAGTGAGTGTCCGGCCGGGAGCTGGGCATCCCTGCAGGGGCTTTCCCGGCCTGGCAACGTCCCAGGGCTCCGGAGAAGCTGAGGGCCAGCCTAGAAAGTAGCACCCACATAGCCTGGGGAGCTTCCTGGCCCCCTTCTGCCCTGGGTGGAGGAAACGGTGGTGGCTTTGCCCTTAGCCAGCCCTGGTGCAGCCCAGGCGGAGGGGAAAGAAGCTGTGCGCCCTCCTTCGGTCCGTCCTGGCTACAAGGCCGTTCTGCCCCCGAGAGCCACCTCACCTCCGGCAACCGTTTCGGCCACAGGAAGGGGGCTCTGGACTCGGAGCTGCTGTGGATCTTGGGGTGCAGAAGAGACCAGGGTCCATTTAGAGAGTGGCAGGCTTCCTGGCTGCTGCTTCTGTCCAAGACCTCCAGACGCCGTTTCCTTTTCCAGGCAGAGCTTCCTCGAGCAAGCAGCCTCTGTACATGAGCTCCGGCTCCCTGAACTGCCTGCCCCACCCTGGCCACGTCGCAGGCACCCTATACAGCAGCTTCCCCTTCCCATCTGTTGCAGCTCCTCTCAGCCGGGCTGCTGACCTGCATGGACTGGCCATCAACTCGGCTTCAGCCCCGCTCATCCGGCGCGGAAGCCCCCATCGTGCCACCACGGTGGCTGCCATGCATTCCAGCCAAGCCAGGTAGCCGCCCCCTCACTCCTCCCCTCACCCTGAGTTGGGGCCGAGCCTGCGACTCCTAGCCAGCTGGCCTTTTCTTCCTTCAGGAAGGGGACCTGACCCGAAATCTCAGCGGATCCTTCAAGCCCAGAGAGTTGGGGCTGGAATCCCTGCCTCTCTTTCAGCCACTCTCCCCAAAACTTCCACCTCTGCAGAGCCGTGTTTCCCCTCCAGCTCACAGCAAGTTCTGAGAACGGTTCTGTGCCCTTGGGCTGCACCCCTCCGCTGCTCTCTCTGCAAGCCAGGTTCCCGCTGCAGATGCCAGTCAGCCTGCCCAGGCCATGGGACAATTCCTGAGAAGCCCCGCGGGCTGGGAGGAGGTTCCTTTTGTAGCCAACTTTGTATTAAAGCTTTATACAGTTCTACCCACGAGGGTTTGTCCGTCCTTTCGTTTACAAGCCGCTGCATCACCCTGTCCTTTGGGTGAGGTGGCTGCCTATTTAGTCCCACAGTGCTTGATAAGGACCGCAGTTTTTTTTATTCTTGTTTTAATATAGCTCCATGTCCCTTTGCACCCACACAGCCCCGTGTTTTTCAGACCTGTTGGCTTTGCACTTCATGATTTAACTACCCTTTCAAAGCTTCCCATCCTTTGTAGCTACTGAATCTGCTGCTGTTCGTTAGGGGACGGCTGCCGCTAATTTGTGCCTCAGTACTGAATGTAGGATTTGCAGGACAGATCCTGCAGAAGTAGGACCCAAAGTGCGTTGCCAGGACAGGAACAACGTTTGAAGAAATTTGATTCAGAACTTGTCCTCAAGTGTACAGGCAGAGTCCTCAACTTAAAAGAGCCAAAATTACAACGGCACTGAAAAAAGCGACTCAGTCATTTTTCACACTTGCGCCCTTTGCGACCTTCCCATGGTCACATGATCGGAATTCAGGTGCTTGGCAACTGGCTCATATTTATAACTTTGCAGCGTCTGGGGATCATGTGATCGGTCCCCTTTTGTGACCTTCTGACAAGCGAAGTCAATGGGCAAGCCAGATTAACTTAACGACCGTGTTACTGACTTAAGAACTTCTGTGATTCACTTAACATGGTGAGAGGTCGTAAAATGGGTTGCTTTTGTTGGGCAAATTTTAGAGTCCCTAAATCTCCTCCTGCACTCCTGGAGCTGTTCAGTTTAGGCAAAGGAAGGTCAATGAAGGAGGATTAAGTGTCCGCCAGGCCCTGGATTACAGTACGAAGTGGGAGTTAGGATTTGATTGGGGTTAGAGCGGAAAGTTTTCGTTCCTTTCTTCATGTATTCCTTCTATTTTTATCCTGCCTTCATAAGTAATTCCAGATGGTGAACGTACTCCTTTCCCGCTCCTCTCTTCCCCACAAAAAACCTCCACCCTGTGAGAGAAAGTGACTGGCCCAAAGTCACCAGCCGGCTTTCTCGCCTAGGTTGTTACCTTAGCAAACTGGAAGAGCTAGCTTGTGTAAGCAGCGGCTCTTCCAGACGTTAATTGAAAAAAGCAGGTTAATCACAGAATATCTCCTCTATATTTTCTCTATGGGGAGGAGGATGGATATTTGTGGGTTTGAAAGGCCTGAAAGCTCTTCTTGAGGCTCTGTGTGGACCATGGAAGGAACTGAAACTGACTTTTGTGGGGAAAATCAGTTTGCAAATGAATGGAACAGTTTTAAGACAAAAAAAAATGTGCCCCGGCAACTACTAGCTCACAGCAGCCCATTATAAGTTTTATCAGAACATTCTCACTGCGTTCCCTGAATTTGAAGGTGCAAATGTTTCTTTTAAGACCATAACTCCCTATAGGTAACAGAAGTAACCTGAGATCTATTTAATTACTTGTGCATGCACAATCACGCAGCATGTACTCCTCTTTCTGACATGTTTGAATGCTGGGGTGTGCCTCCCATTATTCCTTATACCGCTCAGGTCCGTGAGCTTTATTTATTGCTCCAGGTTCTGAGTCTTGATTCCACCCTTTCCTTTGCCCAATCACCCGAAATACCCTGTCTGAGCCGAGCCCTTCTTTGTAAAGGCCCTTAACCAGGGGTGGGATTCAAATAATTGAACAACCGATTCTCTGCCCTAATGATTTCTTCCAACAAGCAGTTCACCAAACTGCTCAGCCAAAGTTAACCAGCGGTTCTCCCGAAGTGGTGCCAACTGGCTGAATCCCACCCCTGCCCTTAACGGGATGCGGCTGTGGCTGGCACACAGCTCTGCCCTTGGATGCACAAGACGGGCAAAAAGCCAGGCTGTTGGGGCCTTCCCCCGCACGGAGAGCAGGTTTTCCCAGCCTGGCTCAGCTCGGGTCTCGGCAACCTCCCCGGAAGGCCGCAGCAGAAGGGCACCTCCACCACCCCAGCTGGGCACAAACTGGAGAGCCGCTCCGTGTGTGCCTCCGCTTGCTACGCCTGGCTTGGTAGCCTTCCCCGCTCAGCTCCGTCCGAGGCGGCCCTCAGGCACCTGCGCCTGCAGCCTCCTTAGGCCCTTTACACGCCCAATGCGCGCGCAGCACAAACCAGGGCACCAAACGGCCTGGCAGCGCCTACTCCAATGCCAACCACACCGGGCCCGTCTGCGCAAGCTCATCGGGGGGGGGGGGGGCCCCTCCCCCCCCCCCCCCGGGGCCCCCCCCCGGGCCCCGGTCGGCGCGGGCGGGGGGGGGGGGGGGAAGCTTCTGCCCCGCCCCGCGAGGGGGCAGAGGCGGAAGCAAGCGAGGCGCAGGCGCGAGAGGCAGGACCGCCTCGTCTCCGGGCCGCGCAGGGCCCCACAACCCGAAGGGCCGATCCCGGGAGGCGCAGGGAGGCCGAGCCCAGCGCGGGGCCGCGTTCCGGCCATGAAGCCTCCGAGGGTGCCGGACCCGCGGAAGCTGCTGGCCGGGCTGGCGGCGGCGCGCGCCGACGGGGGAGTCCCGGCGCTGGACGAGCAGCTGCAGGAGGTGGAGAGGTAGGCGCGTCCCCCCCCCCCCCGGCCCCCCCCCCCCCCCGGCGCCCCCGCCTGACCCGCCTCTCGCCCGCAGGAGGCTGCAGTGCCGGGCCCGGCAGACCCGCGAGCGGCGGCTGCGGAAGCTGATGGGGCCCCCGGAGGCCCCCGAGCCCCGCGCCCTGAGCCTCCGCGCGATGGAGCAGATCCGGTAAGGAGAGCCGCTGAAGGGGACCCAGCTCGGCCCGCCCGCCCGCCCGCCCGCCTGACCCCGGCCTCCCTCCGCAGGTACCTCCGCAGCGCCTTCCCCGAGGAGTGGCCGGCCGACCGCCTGGCGCAGGGCTTCGGCGTGACGCCCGAGGTCATCTACCGGGTGCTGAAGAGCCGCTTCCGCCCGTCGCCCGAGCGGGGCCTGAAGCAAGACGCCCGCGCCGGCGCCCGCCCCAGCCCCGCGCCCGCCTGCGGAGCCGCCCCGGCGGCCCTGGAGCCTCCCGCCCGACTCTGGCAGGAAGGGGCGGCTGCCTCCCGGGCCCGCCTCCCGGGGCTCGTCGCCGGGGGCCCGTCCGTGGCGGTGGGCAGGCGGCCCGAGGGAGCCCGGGGCTCAGCAGGGAAAGCGGGCAAAGCGAGGGCGCCGCGCAGCCGCTCGAAAGAAGCGCCCGGGGAGGGTCCCGAAGGGCCGGCCGCCTCGTGACGCTGCTCCTGGGCCGGGAGGGGCTGCGGCTTCCCGCCTCCTGCCCTCCCGAGGCAGACTGGTGAAGGGGGGATGGAGCCCGCCACCCCTTGTGCGTTTGTCCAGCGTGCGGGTTGCCCTCCAAGCGGCAGGGCTGGTCCCGTCCCTTTAGCCGCCAGGAGCCGCAGGCCAGCCCGGCCTCTCTTGGAGGGACAGGCCCCAAATAAACTCTGTGACCCACAAGTCTCTCTACGTGTCTCCTTTAGTGAGAGCTTCGGCCAAGGCTTCCGCCCCCGAGGAATGGCTGCCCCTGGAGCAGGACCTGGCAGTCTGGGGAAGGCCGCTCTTCAGGATCCTCTGTGCCAGTTTAGAAAGGAATGGCTTGTATCTAAAACGCTGTTGGGAGATACAGAAGTTTACAGAATAATGGAGTTGCAGGGGACCTTGGAGGTCTTCTAGTCCAACCCCCTGCTTGAGCAGGAGACCCTAGACCAGAGGTCCCCAAACTTGGCAATTTTAGGGCTTGTGGACTTCAGCTCCCAGCATTCCTCAGCCAGCAGAGTTTACTCTCTTGTAATCCCTTCCTCTGCAATCTCTCTCCACTTTAGGAGATGAAGAGAGAGAAAAAGCAGGCATGGCTGGCTGAGGAATTCTGGGAGTTGAAGTCCACAAGTCTTAAAGTTGCCGAGTTGGGGACCCTTGCCCTATCCCATTTCAGACAAATGATAGTTCAATCTCTTTTTAAAAGCCTCCAGAGATGGAGCCCCCACAACTTCTGAAGGCAACTTCTGTTCCATTGGTTGATTGTTCTCACTGTTAGGAAATTTCTTCCCCAATCAAGTAAACAGTACCCCAACCAAGGAGCTGCCAAACAAGCCAACATTAAACGGCCCAACCAAAGAACCTCTGAGACCACCTTCACCAATACTGACAAGGCCACTAGAACAAACCCAACTCTTTACTAACATTGATGATGTTTCCCGGTTTGGGTCATGAAACATCTGCAAGAAAACAACCAAGCTCCAGAGAGCACCAAGGACCCCAAATTCCCTTCTGCCACTCCTCCCCACTTCCTTATTGGAGTCTAAAGAGTAGAACTTGCCCAAGGGAGGTTGGGGAGAAGCCCAGTCCTCTGCCCCAGCCTTCCCTTGGCCCTCCCCTTGAGAAGGTACTACTGTCACAAGAGAGGATGGAGCTCGGCTTTCAAAGAAGCCTCATTCAGACGCATACGAGCGGAGCTTCCTCGTGGTGTCTCTTCCCCCTTTCATTGCTGCATTAGTGGTAAACCTCTGTTTGCCTCATCTGGAAGCACAGGAGGGGGTGACCCACGAGGAAGGTGGCAAGTATGAGCAAGAAGCACACTCACTGGGATTCATGGCCTGCTGGAATTACTGGAGCGGAGCCACCGTTTTGGAGGAGGCAGAGTGCTGCTCAAAGCCACCGGATATCTGACGGAAGAAAGCATTTGTAGCTCAGGGTGGAACTGTGGAGTCCAGATGCACAGGTAATCGGTGATGACGTTACCTAGTTTGGTAAGGAAACAAGGAAACAACCAGGCTCAGAGAGCACCAAAGAATCAGATATCTTGATCTTGAGGGTCACAGGAAATAAAACATGGCAGTGGAAAAGAACAGCCATGCAGTTGCCAAGAAAACCACCTGGATCGCCCTGTCTAGTCAGGGCCTAGGAGTTGAGCTCAGCTGAGTTCTCCATTTAATGCTGCACCAATGAGAAAGAATGCCCTCCAATAACTTTAAAATGCAACGCATCTACATTACCCTCATTGTGTATAAGCAATAAAGATCTCATATTTTTCATTTCCATACATACATACAAAGATTATTTCCCTCCCCCTTACTCTTTCTCCCCCCCCCCCTTCTATTGTATTTGTATAGCTGCACATCTCCCAGCAATGACTTGGCAGTGTATAAAGTGAAAATCAGCAGCTGAAACAGAAATCCAAAGAATGAAACCCGAGGTTATAGATCAAAACCCAACTTACCTTCTACCCAAAGGCTTAGACAGGCAAACAAGATGTGCAAAGACTGCAGTGATCACTCCTGGACAGCCAACTCCTAAGTCTAAAATAGACACACAATGCCCCTACCTTGGCACAGCCGGATGGGAGGCCACCTAGCAAGGCTTTGGATATTGGCAACGTCCCAAGATCTACAGTACGTAGGGATGGCCCTAAGACACCATGTTTTCTTGTGATAGTCCTGAAACGTAGGCAGTGTTATAATCCCCAAACCATCAAGGGGTGTTGGCCTGAAGACTCAATCTATTAAGCCTCTCCTGCATGAATAGTGAAACTGATATCGTATTTTCCCCCAAAATAAGACCTAATCGGAAAATAAACCCTAATATATCTTTTGGAGCAAAAAGTAATATAAGACCTAATCTTATTTTGGGGGAAATATGATATAAACCCTTTATAGCTGTTCAGTAATGGTTTATAATGGTTTTGGCTTTAAAATGCAATGGTTTAAAAATATTGGAAAACTCTGAGGTCATAGACTCCTTGTTCCTGCACAGCTAAAACAGCAAGGATTGCTAACCTTTGACCACTCAGGAAAGCTGAAGGAATAAAGAAGTGACTCCTTGCCCAAATGAAAGCTTATTCCCGCTTCTGTGAAAGTGAAGATTGACGACCAGGGAGGGTGAGTGGTCAGGAGAAGGACTGGATGTTTTCCTTCCTTCCAAGCTTACCTCTTGATAGCTGTCGCTGATGCACTCCTTGCCTTCTGCAGTGACGTGGCTTTCATCATCAGATTGGCCACTCACTCGAGGGTGTCCCCGCATGTGTGTGCACCCTCCCGGCCCTGCCACAGCTGGTGCTCGTTCCTCAGCCAGCCTGGATTTCCAAAAAGAAGAAAAGGAGTAGCGAAGAGCCCCAAGGAGAGCTTTCCTGGCCCAGACACGGCTTTCTAAGAGAGAGAGAGGAGATGCAGAGACAGAGCGTCCAAGAGATGGCCGGGGGGGGGGGGGGAGACTGGCTGGCGGGCGAGTGTCTTTGGCAAGGGCACTCCAGCTTTCTACCGGGATGGGCGTGCAAGGTTTGGCAGGGCCAACCCTCTTTTCCCGCTGCCCTGAGCGTCTTACAGCTGTGGCTGGGCGCTGCGGGTCCGTCCCCCCTTCCATTCTCCCATCCTCCTGGATCCCATTCCCACCATGCCAGCCCTCGAGTTAGTGAGGCTGGTGTAGGTCGCGGCCGGGTTGGGCCAGTGTCTCAGGGCGGAGAGCAGGTTGCACATCTCCCCAAGTGACCGAGGCCTGCTCAGCACCAACAAGGGCTGGAAGAAGCTCCAGCAAGAGTGAGGCGCTGGAGGCCATCCCTCGCCATCGCCCTTCCCAGGCCAGGCAAGGGTGGGGAGGTCGAGGGGCAGGACCAGCCAGTGAGGGGACAGGGAGTCACAGCAGGGGGCCCAAAGAGCCGCATGAGGCTCTGGAGCCACGGGTTGCCGGCACCCAGTCACATCATCTTGTCAAAAGGGTTTTAAACTAAAACTGGGGAAGGGGGCAATCTTCACTAACTTTAGAACCTAATTCCAAGAAAAACCACATAAGGTTGTATGGACTATGAGTTCTAAGTTGGCAGATGTCATCTAGGAACCACTGGACCATATCTTCCAAAAATCCTGGAGAACTGGGAAACTATCAGAGGACTTGAAAAGAGCTGATGTGGTTCCCATCTTCAAAAAAAGGGGGAAAAACCAGACCCAGGAAACTATAGACTCACCCAGAAAGATACTGGAAAAGATAATAAAAACCAGATCTACGAACATCTAGAAACGAGTAAAGTAATAATTAGATCAGCATGAGTTAAAAACATGCCAAACCAATCTTATTTCATTCTTTGACAAGGACTAAATTAGTAGACCAGTGAAATACAGTGGACGTAGTATATTTAGACTTCAGCAAGGCATTCTACAAGGTAGACTACAGCCTAATTTTTGTTAAGCTAGAAAAAAGTGGAATAGACAGCATCACCCACCAGATGGATTTGTAACTGGATGACAAATCAGATGAGTAGTCCTTAACAGGACTATGTCTACCTGGAGGGAAGTAAGCAGTGGGGTGCCACAAGGTTCCGTCTTAGGCCCAGGACTCTTCAAGATCTTCATTAACCACTTAGAGGAGGGAATAGAAGGGGAACTCACCAAATTTGCAGATGATACTAAGCTGGCAGGAGTAGCCAACCACCCTAAATGACAGGCTCAAGATCCAGATGGATCTTGACAGACACTGGGTCTTGCACTTAGGCAAGAAAAACCAAAAAACACACACAGACAGAGAAACCAAACTTAATATCCGTAACTGCGAGAGGGATCTTGAGATGTTGAGACTCTAGAAAAAGCGCAGAGAAGAGCAACCAGGAGGATGAGGGGACTGGAGGCGGAAACATGCGATGGACGGTTGCAGGAACGGGGCCTGGCTGGTCTCGGGGGGAAAAGGACCAGGGGAGACACTGGAGGGAGGGGCTGCCCCAGAGAGGGGGGGGGGGGGGCTCCTTCGAAGGCCAGACAGGGAACATGGTGGGGAAACGGAGCCGGGAGAGGAGAGTCAACCGGGAAATGAGGAATTTCCTGACCCCCGGAAGAGAAGTTGCCTCCGGGGCTTGTGGGAGCTTCACCCCGGAGCAGCCCAGAAGGCGGCCGGTCCCTCGGTCGAGCGCACAGGCCCCACCCCGCGGCTTCCGGGCCTGCCCGGCTTTCTCCGCGCAGCGGCGGCCGCGACCGTCCCCCGCCCGCTGGGCTCCGCTCCGCGGGGGGATCGGCTCAGGACCGAGGCTGCCGTCCCCGCAGCGAAGCGCCCGCCAGCCGATGCCTGCCGCACAAATGGCGCCCGGGCCGGGCGGGGAGAGCGGCTGGTTCTGCTTCGGGTTCCGCTGGGCCGGCGGCGCGGAGGGCGGGCCGGAGCCGCTGTCCGCGGAGGGCGGAGGGCCGGTGCGGCGCGTGAGGCCGAGCTGGAGCTTCGCGGCGCTGGTGGCGGCCGGCGGGCCGGGGCGGGTGCGGCTGCAGGGCGCCGTGTGTGCGGCGCTGCCTCCCGACTGCCTGGACGCGCTGCCCTCCGAGACGCACGTGCTGCTGCTGCGGGAGGCCGCGCTGGAAGCCTGGCCCGTCGCCCCGGGGTCGGACGCCCTCCTGGACGGGCGGCCGGCCTGGCGGAGGGAGCTGCGGGCGGCGGAGGCGGCGGCGATAGGTGCGCGGCGGGAGGGAGGGGGGCCGGCCGCGACCTCGCCGCCTCCCGCTGACCCGCCGTTTCCCCCGCAGAGCTGCCGCTGGTGCCCGGCGGCTACGTGGCCCCCCGGCCGCCCTTCTTCACAGCGCTGCCCGCCGCCCTCCCGGCTCGCCGGTTGCTGCTGGGCCTGGAGCACGCGCTGCTGCTGGCGGCCGACGGGACGCTCTTCTCGTGGGGCGGCGGCAGGTGAGGCCGGCGGGCGGGCGGGCGGGGAAGCCGGGCCGGAGCGGGACCGAGCGCCCTTCCGTCTCTGCGCAGGCACGGGCAGCTCGGGCACGGCGACCTGGAGAGCCGGCGGGAGCCGCGGGCGGTGGAGGCGCTGCAGGGCTTGGCGGTGGCGGCGGCGGCGGCGGGCGGCTGGCACTCGGCGGCCGTCAGCGGTGAGCGGCCCTTCCCTGGGCGGGCGGGCGGGGGAAGAGCTCCCCGACGGCGACTCACCCCTTCCCCCCCTCGCAGATGCGGGCGACCTGTACTTGTGGGGCTGGAACGAGGCCGGACAGCTCGGGCTGCCCTCCAAAAAGGCCAGCGAGGCTGCAGCCGCCGAAGAGGCCGGTTCGGCCCCGGGGAATCGCCCCCTTTACGGCGCCGGGCTGGACGTGGGGGCTGCGGACGGGCCCGGAGGCGACGAAGCGCCCTTCGTCTCGGTACAGCCCTTCCCCGCCCTGCTGGACTTGCCCGAGGAGGCCGAGGTGCGGCGGGTCAGCTGCGGGTCCCGACACACGGCTGCCGTGACGGGTGAGCGGAGGCAAAGGGCCCCCTCGCGAACCAGGGAAGGGGGTCGCTGGGGCGGCTCCCGACAGCTGCCCCCCTCGCAGCCGTTGGGGCAGAAGGGAAGGCCTCACCCTGCTCGCTTCCTTTTCAGGTGCCGGCCATGTCTACACCTGGGGCTGGGGTAGGTAGGAGGCTGGAGGGGGGGGTTGGCCAGAGGTTTTGTGGGGCCAATGGTTGCTTTTGTTCCCAGGGAAATATGGCCAGTTGGGGCACCAGGATGTGGCCACATCTGACCGGCCAAGGAGAGTTTCCTACTTTGTGGAGAGGAATCTCAGGGTGCAGGACGTGGTCTGTGGGCCGTGGACCACGTTTGTCCAAGCTGCGGCTGCCGAGAGTGGGCCGTGAAGAAGCCACGTCTGCCAGGCATTTCTCTGGAGGCCGAGCAGCTTCCCGGAGCTCCATCTCGATTCAACCGTCCCAGGACGTCCCATGAAGGAGAATTTGGGAGGGGGGGGCAATGACACCTCGGGTTTCCTCATGAGTCTCACGGGTGTTTCTTCAAGCAGTTCAGCCATGTTTCCATATCAGAAGCACAACATTAAATGCAGAATAAAAATATCTTTTATGTAGAGCAAAGTCAGACATTTTTAAAAAGCCCTTTCAAAACAGTACAACTGATTTTTTGCTGCTCACCTACATCTTTGAACAAGCGAACAGCCACACAAATAAATAAGAGGCTGCTGTAGTGAAGAAGGTGCAAATCTAGCCATGATCGTTAAAAGTATAGTCAAAGTGCCAGGGATGCCAGCCTCTCAGCCCAGCCAGCAGACGGGCCAGGAGGTGAAGAGGGAGGGGGTGCATCCTTGTAGAGGACTCCCTGTAGTGTCTCCCCTTCCTGGGCCCAAGGTGAGCCGGAGACCATCTGCTGGGCCTGGGTGGACAAGGTTGCCCAAGGAAAGGAGGCAAACCTCTCCCTGCCCCCCCTCCCCTGTGGACAAGGCAGCAGGCCTGAGCCCACAACAGCTGCTGCATCTAGACCTTTATTCCCTGTAACAAAAAACTTGGAAATCAATTCATTACAAAATGTTAAAAGTGGCAGCGTAAACCAGGCCCCAAAAGGTCCAGTTCATGCCGGCCGGACCCTGGATGGTGAGAGGATCCAGGGCTGGTAATGGCCCCCCTTCAGCCGTCGGGATTGGACATCGTGGAGTTGAGGACGTGGGATGGGTGCTCAGATTTGGAAGCCTCTGAAAGTGCGCGCTGGGGAGGGAAAACGATTGGCATGAAGGATGCAGAGTCGGTCAGAGGGAGCTGTGGGGGGTAGCTATTCGGACAACATGCAAAGGACTGTGTTCAGAGGGGCTTTGGGCAGGAGTGGAAGCAGCGGCAGGGAAGAGAGGGCAGAGTGAAGCAGAACTGGGCTCTCCTGCCCACGCTGTCCTGCATTTATATACGTGAGGTAAAAAGGCAAACCTTGACTTCTGGGCGACCCCACTTACCTTTCGTGCTTTGCCAGGTGTGGTGATGCCCAAAGCCCGTCTCTTGGTGGGGGTGCTGCCATAGAGCATCTCCTCCTCCGTCTGTCGGGACTTTTTGAGTTGCTGAAAGACAGAAGGGAATGGAGTAGGCTAAACAGGAGCTGGCGGCCACCTCAGAAACGGTATCCGAGATTGACTGATCTCAAGCGAACTTTTTAAAAAAATGGATTCCATTCATCCGAGATGGACCAACTTCTTGGCTGTCACACTTGGAATCAGAGGGCAAGTCTGAAGTAAGGGGAGTGGCTGCGAGGCCTCCCAATTCTCAGCAGCCCAGCTGGAACCGGCTCTGCTTCAGCCTGGGGAAGGGAGCCTTCTGGCATCCGGTGGGGGAGCCCTGCTCTGCATGTCCCAAAGCCCAGAAAAGACGGGATCGCTGTGAGGGGACCCCAAGGTCTCTGATGGGTTTAGAGCTCTGTGAGGCAAGGGAATAGCCATCTTAGAGAATCATAGAATCATAGGGCTGGAACGGACCTCGGTGGTCTTCTAGTCCAAATCCTGTGCAAGCAGGGACCCAAGACAATGCTGAGTCGCAACACCTTTTTTATATTGTAGCGACCAAAACTGGATGCAACATTCCCCTTGACCTATACTTAAAACATTTCATTTTTCTTTGTCCCTTCTCACAAAATTCTTCAAGCCATTAACAATCCTGTTCTCTAAATCTAATATAGGAAAATTACCCAATCTTGGTTTGTCATCCCTTTGAATTATTAAGCATGAGCCTTTTTTTTTTGTATGTCCAGTGAAGCATCTTTTTCCTTGTCGTTCTTGTAACTTTTCGTTTTTAAAGCCACTTTCAGATCAAGTCTCAATTGTGCCAAGAAATGTTTGTTCCTTGTACGTGGATCTTTGAAGCACAGTCTATCTACAGAGGCAGGTATTAATTTCTGGCTCCATTCTTTCAAAAATATCCTTCAGTACATCCAATATTAAAATACTTTGCTTCATTCTATATTAGTAAGTCAAGTTTGAGTGTTCTCCTTTAATTGTAATCTTTAATTCCTTTCTGTGTCCAATTTTTAGAGTTTTCTTTCTTTCAAATAATTCAAAACGAAAGCATTTTCTCATGGGAAAGATTCTTTAAATTAATTCTAAAATTTTATTTCAAATTTTTCTTGTCCTGTTGTCCATTTGGGACTTTCAAAATCAATTGTTATTCACTTTTGCTGTTTATCAAAAAAAAAAACCAGCATTGACATTTCTGCAGATGTCGGTGTTTCTGCAGGCTGCTGGGCGACACCGGGAGAGGGTTGGGCGGCCACATAGAGAGTTTCTTAATAAGTAAATAAATACGTCAATGATGCGCGGGGGGAGCCTTTGGATTTTGGTCGACCAGGCTGAGCTGCCAACTCCCACCGTGGCCGCTGGCTTTCCCTTCGCGGTAACCCTTTCAGGCTCCTCCGGCTCCCGGAGTGGGGAAGGGAGGGGAAGCAGCAGCGGCACTGGGGAACTCGGCCCAGGAGAAGACCTGGCGGAAGCCCAGGACCTTGAGCCCCTGGCGCCCGCCCGCCTTTATGACGTCACAAGCCCGAAAGAGGGAGGGCGCCTCTTCCTGCCCCGCCCCCTCTGCCCGATTGGCTCTATTTAAAAACGGGGCGGTGCAACGGATGCGGGGAAGTGGAGGGAACGTTTGAACCTCTCTGGTCGGGCGGCGCGATGAAGGCGGCGGCGTAAGTTCCCCCCCCCCACCCCGCTCCCTTCGGAGGGCCGCGGTGGGCGATGCGGCGCTTAGCCCGAGGCCTCTTCCCCGGCGGCGCTTCTGGGCCCGGGCCTGCCCCGGCCTCGGCCTGGGGTTCCGTGGGGAGCAGCCGTAGCAGCGGCCGCCGCGGAGGAGTTGAGGTGGCTGGAGGGCCTCTTCCCCTGGGAAGGGAAACTCCCGGCTCGCCTTCGTGTCCCCTCCACGGCGGGGTTTTCTTTGGGCCTTTCCTCCCTTCCCTTCTGGGCCCAGAAAGCCGGCTGGGTCCTGGTTTTACTGACCTTTACCAAAGGATGGAAGGTTGAGTCAACCTTGAGCTGGTGAGACTAGAACTGCTGGCAGCCAGCAGAAGCAGCCTGCAATATACTGCATTCATACCATTGTGCTCCCATGGCTCTTAATAAGGGGGTTTTAGTTAGACCTTTTCAAAGTTTTGTTGAGGGCCCTGCTTTCATGGTGCAGCCAGGAGAAAGGGCACAGCAGCTACTTTCACAATTAAGGAGGCTTGGCCTTTGTTGGTGGGTTTTAAATCTCCTACCACAATTTTGGTGGATAATACACCAATCTTTCCAGCTTTCATTTCTCTTCTTTTACTGTCTAAGGATTTACTCTGTGGATTTGGGTTGTCTGTTCAAAATTGTTAATCCAGAAATGTGGAAGAATTGGGCATCTTTTTTTTTTTTTCTTGAGAAGAAGGGTCTGATAAAGCTGGAGTGGTGGCAGTGAGCACTCTCAGGAAGAGGAGCTGGCATGCAGCTATGGACCCTAGAAGGCATCTTCTATGACATGTCCACCCATTCTTCACACTTTATTAGTATTAATAATGTAATTCCACTTGTATTAGCTGCTTTTAAAAGCCTCTCTGGCTACTTTGATCTTCCTCTACATTGCTGCAATGGAGCATTTTGCCTTGTGTAGTGTGCATCTTTGATTTTATTTGTAACTTATCTGACATTTATTAACTTCCAGAAGAACTAAAACTCCTAGGAAACATGCCTTTAAAAAAGCATCTAACAATAGTTTGAAGGATCCCGTTGGGGTAAGTGGCTGATTTACAGCAGAATTATCTCTTTAATCTGTTCTTGCGTATTATAGGATTTGACTATGAAAGCTGGACTTGCTTCTTTATTAATATGTTTGTATATGAATTACTATGATTTTCTGTATGAGACGAGGCAAAATCTGCAAAGCCAAGAAAGACTGACACATCTTGTTTTTAAAGCTTCATTTAGAATTTAGCATTATTTTCTTGATTCTGGGCAAGTGGTTTTTCACCCAGCTATGATAAAGTAGTTTTAAACCCCAGAAACAGCAGATGTTGTATCAAGGCGATTTCAAAGTTTGCCACTCTAAATAGATCGATGCCTTAAAGCACATATGAGCTACAAACCATTGGACTGATCTTCCGATGCTAGTTCAAATGGTCCTCAACTTAGGTTACAATGTATCCCCCAAAATGGGACTATGGTTTTAAACATTGGGGGGGATTCCCCCCAATCACATGACCCCATTTTCAGAGTTCAGCAGCTGGCCCACATTTATAGCTGCCAGATGACTACAATTTATGAGGTTTTAATTGAAAACCAGCATTTACTTCCTGTTTCCAACAAAAATTGCCCCATAACAAATAATAGGTTTGTTTTACGGGTGCTGCGTTTGCATGATGACCATTGCAAAAAAAGTTGTAAAATCAGGTAGTCATGTGACCCAACTTATAACTGCGGGTTCAGTTGTCCTACGTTGAGGACTAGTTGTAAACATTTTCCATTCTGATGTTTGCTCTGTAAACGAGGAGGACAATCTTAAGCTGGTGTGCCTAAATAGTGCACTTTTTTCTCTGTTCAGGTGTATTGCCGGATCCGCCCAGTCGGTGTACCAGACCAAGAGTGTTGCATAGAAGTGATCAGCAGCACAACGGTCCAGGTTCACCCACCTGATGGGTACCGTATTGCCCGTAATGGAGAATATAAAGAGGTAATTCTCATTGGAAAATGTGCTATTGTTAACTATGGGTTTCAATCAGAAGTGGTCTTCAACCAGTTCTGACCAGTTCTGGAGAACCACCGGTACCGGAAATTTTGAGTAGTTCAGAGAACCGGCCAACCCCATCTCTTCTCTGCCTCCCATTGAGTCCCAGCTGATCGGCTGGGTCTCCTTTGGTTGCCCTGCACAGGAGAACGGAGCTGGAAAGCAGGTTAGTGGGGTGGGGAGGGAAGGGGGATTTAGCGGTATCCTTCCCCTGCCACGCCCACCAAGCCACGCCCACAGAGCCGCTAGTAAAAAAAAAATTTGAATCCCACTACTGGTTTCAAGCTGCACTTTTATTAGGATTATGTCATTTAAGGCAGCTGGGTTTATCATCCGAGGTGGGATTCTTCCGGTTCGGACCGGATCAGGCGAATCCCTTGTGCTGATGATCAGCTGGCTCCGAACCAGTTTCCTCCGACGAGCATGTCGTGTCCCCCCCCACCGCCTTTCCTGTGCTTCATTTCGTTTTTGTAAAGCCCAACTGAATTGTGGGGCAGAGCAGTTTGCCGCACCTCAGCTGCTTTATTCACAGGGGCTGCAGTTGAAGGGAAGTACTAGAGCTGAACAGGGGCCTTTTTTAAAACGTGGAGCGAGCGCACAGAGTGCCCGTTTGGCGTGCGTGCATGCGTGCACTCACCGAGCTGGTTGTTACACCGGTTGAATAGCACCACTGTTTATCATAGTCTGTACGCACAACGTTGCAGTTCCTTTTTGAATTAATTTTTATTAGTAAGCTTGTGGTCATACTAAGGTTCTATTTAGGGGTTCTGTTGCTGGAAAGACATACAATAAAGAAAAAAATGTGCTTTTGCAAATATTAATTCACCTACCAAGTGGCATTCAACATTATTGCAGGGAGATAAAAACTTTTAGATTTTTTTTTGTACTAGTTACTTTTTCCCAGGAAAATAGGAAAAGGACCACAGGTATAAATTGAACAGCTGTGCATTCAAAACTTTGATGCAGTATGAACATCAATGAGAGGACTAGGCAAAACTGCTGGTTAACTGCTTCCTAACTCTTAATTTTTTCCCCCAGGTTCAGTATTCATTTAAAGAAGTGTTTGGCACAAGCATTTCTCAGAAACATGTATTTGATGTGGTTGCTAAGCCTCTAGTGGAAGATCTTATCCGTGGAAAAAATGGTATGATGTAATTAAGTTATTAAGACTGAATCTCTCTCAGGACGAGCAATATGCTTCAAGTGATCCTGATTCTGTGCCTCTGTTTATACAGCCCAGGATTGTATTAGCCTTTTTGGCGGCGGCTGCACCCGGCTGGCTTCTCCACTAGGACTCCAAGGTCCTTCTCACAGTTACTGTTTTTGAGCCAGGTCTCGCCTAATGTGTACTTATACCTTTGATTTTTCCGTCCTAAATGTAAAACTTTGCTTTTCTCCACACTGAAATTCATTTTCTTGGATGGAGCCCATTGTTCAAGTTTGTCAAGATCTTTCTGGAGCCTGAGTTTGTCTTCTGGGATGTTGACTATTCCTGCCAGATTGGTGTCATCTGCAGATTTGATGAGTTCCCCTTCTATTCCCTCCTCTAAGTCATGAAGATATTGAAGAGTACCATTAAGTAGGCAAAGATTCCTGGCTTTAGTCTTTTTCAAGTAGATTGGTACAGTAGATCTTAATCTTAAGTATTAGGGCAGGATGAATATTTTAAGGAGAAACCTGTCACAGCTTAAACTTCTAATTAGAAATGATCCTTGCCTCCATTTGTTGAGAAAACTATGGTTTATTAGAGGTCAAGTGTATTGCAGTATAGCAAAGCCAGAACTGAAAATTGGGCGCCCAAATCCCTAAATTCTACTTTTCCCTCCCTTAATTGGCTCTCTGCTCACCCTAGTGCAGTGATGGCGAACCTTTTTGTTGTGGTGTGCTGAAAGTGCACACGCGCCAGCACCCACAATGCAATGCACCCACCTGTGCATGCACGCGCAACACACACACACCCTGCTCCCTTACCTGCACTGCACATGCCTCCCAGCTGATGTTTGGTCCATTTGAGGCCTTTTTCACCCTCTTGGGGGCTCAAGGGAAGCCTCTGCAGCTTTGCCTTTGGAGGGCAAAAAATGGTCATTCTCGCCCAATGTTCCTGTAACTAGATCCCTCTTATCATTTCTTCTTTATTAGTAAGAAATATATCTGGTATAGCTGTTAATGTAAGGACCTGCCTCAGCTGCCTTCTCAAGAAAGTAAAACTCTTGCAGCAGTTTGCATTTGAAAAGGAACTTTTACTGAGAGTGATTGCGGAGAAGTCAGGCTCTGAAATTTGGGCTCCAAGCCTTAGGCTAAATTTCCCCTTCAAACCCCCCCCCCCCAATACTCTATGTCC